TCGGATTATAATTTATTCGAGCAGGATTTTCCATCGATCCACGTTAGTTTCTATCTTTGCACAATTTTAGGGGGAATAATTCGTGGAATACCATTGACGAACGGAGGATTTCAATGGGTCGGGTGTGGTATTAATGGTGGTAAAACGGATAACAAGATTCGAAACGACGAATGAGGGAAAAATTCGGTTAATACGACGCTGTTTGATTAAATGCTTCACATTGTACGTTTATAGAGAAATATCGAACAGATTTATTGGTCAGAATTAAAAATAAGCAAGTTGCATATTTATTTAACAGTTAAAAAATTTCTTTGCATCTCGAAGTAGTAAGTCTGCCATACCATTGACTTCTTCTCCTATTTCACAATACTGTTCCTAGTATATCATTAATTAAACTAAAAATTGCTCAAAATTTCAGTTTGACTTTTACATTATTTCACAGTCGAAAATAAACAATTTTATAAGGCATTACTATATTTCTGAAATTCTCAGGCCAACCTTAGACTGTTCCTCTATCTACGTCTGACCAATGCCAGACCTATACTACTTGCATCACTTCTCCACACTCCATCAAACGTATTCCTCAAAATTCTCCCCTTTCCAAGGGAACTACACGCTACATCTCACGCATCATCTTCTTCCCAGCAAAAAGGAACACTCTCACGCTCATCAGAAGCCTTCTGTCATCAACGTTACGCGTCTCAAAGAAAGTCTCGAATATCCGTTCGAAGCGGCGCGGCGTTCTGTCGCCGAACTTTGATCCCTCAGAAGCAGAGAAAAAGAAAGAAAAGAACAGAGAAAATGAACAAAAAAAGGGGAGAAGAAACTACATGAAACCCCCGCCAACGTGAAGAGTAGAAGGCAAAGAACGCTGTGAAACGGAAAAGAAAACGACAGCCGGAAAAGCATCGAGGAGAGATCGCATGAAACTGCTTTGTAAATTACGCGCGCGCGCGCACGTTGTCGATTCGAACTTAACAACCGTTAACGTTGATGAGACGTCGACGTTGAAAAAAGGAAAAAAGAGAGAAGGGAAAAAACAACGGGACACAAGGATTGTACAAAGGCATAAAGCCGAAGGAGAAGCCCGCGTTCGCGACTGAAACACGCCTGAATCGTGGCGTGCACGTGCGTGCTCCGCTGCCTGAAAAACCGGAAAAGGGTCGAGCACCTATTTCCGGCAACGGGACTGAGGGTGGGCTAGGGAGGAGACGACCATTATTAAAAGTATAAAGCCACTTCCATTGCGACGACTGAGCGGGGATTAAATGGGAGAGCAAGGTGATCTTCTGGTTTCGGATACGAGTACTTTGTTTTTCTTGTTTTTCTCGGATTTTGGTAGCTTGATTGGAGAGTAATTCCGGCGAGGAGAATTTGTGGAGGATTTCTCTTCTTCCTTTGGTGATTTTTATTTTTGATTTTTTAAAGTGTTTTTCTTTTCGGTGATTTTGGGGAGGTTTATTGATGATTGTGTCTGGAGAATGAAGTTTTCATGCAGTTTTCATGAAGTTTTATTGCAGAATTCTTGTTATTTTAGAAATTTTTATTTGAAATGTTATAGAAATGTATCTTTTTGGTGATTTTGTGGAGGTTTATTAAAGATTGTGCTTGGAGAATGATCTTCGATAAAATTTTATTGTAGAATTCTTCTTATTTTAGAAATTTTCATTTTAGACACTTTAGAAACGTTTCTTTATAGTAATTTTGTGTAGTTTTCTTTAACAATTGTGATCTCTGATGACATTCCATCGACCAATTTCTTTTTACTCGAATAAAATCCACATCTTTAAAATTCGTCTCGAAAACTGCAACAAAATCCATCGTCGAACATAATCGACATCTTCACAGGTGTCATCGACCGTCCATTTCCAGTTCAGTCACGAAGAGCGTTTAAAAACTATCAAACTCCCTGCTCACTCATCCCTTTCCTTACGAAACACGTCTACCGACTGAACAACTTTAAAATAACTCCGCAGATAGGCGGCGCGCGTTATTCCACCCCTCTTCTCCAATCCTGTTTTCCATCTTTCCAACTTTATCGCGTTCCTTTCGACGAACGTGCCCCGCCACCATCTTTCTCCCTCTTCTCCTCTTTCCCGCGATCGAATGTCATCGAGCATCCCTCTTCGCCTCCCCAGGGACACCGAGAGCTCGCAAGTGGACGTTTTTATGCTTTGTTGGCATCGTTCGGTCGCATTTAGAATTTCATAGCACGAACAGACGATTTATCATCGCGCCGCAACAGATCGATCCGCGAACAGCGATTTCTTGGTCGATTTGCGCCCGATTTGGAGCTGTTCGAGGGTTATGGTTGCTCTCGAGGAGTCTTGCAATATGGCGGATGGAAGAGAAGTTCCATAGAAAGTTTTTTT